CCCCAAAACCCCAAAACCCCAAAACCCCAAAACCCCAAAACCCCAAAACCCCATATTTATCTCAAAAAGTTGACAATTTTTACAATTAATGGAATCTTATTCTGAGCTGGATAAAAAGCTCACAAAAGAACGTAAAAAGGAACTCAAGAAGCTAAATGAAATGTATATCCCCAATGATAAGAAGACGGCTGAAGCCCTTGGAGATATCAAGAAGGAAATCAGGAACCAAAGGATCCAGCCTGTGTTCAGTAAGGAAGTAGTCGAGAATTATCACAAAAGAATGGCTATCGTTGATCCTGGAGAATGGATCCCAGCTACAGAGCAGGACTCTCAAAACTATTACGGATTCACTTGCTCTGGGTTCAACCAGCTTTATCAAGATAGGAAGACTATTTACATCCAGCCCTTAGATACCTCAATGGATGAAGAATTCTTGGCTACTTGTCAGAAGTACTGTGAAGCATACTTCTACCCACTTCCCGTTCTAGTCAGAGCTGCAAAGAATATTGCCAAGCTGAAGATCAAGAATAGGACTAGAGAAGAAGGGTTCATACAATATGATGCCAGAGAAATCTTAAGAAGAGCTCAGAAATGGATTCCTGCTGATGCATATTGTATGATATGTATTCTAAACTCTGATCTTTATCCTAGAGACTCCTGGAACTTCGTCTTCGGACTTGCTTCGCTTAGAGATAGAACGGGAGTCTTCAGTTTTGCCCGATATGATCCTGGCTTCTTTGGTGAAGAGCATGGCATGAGTGATGAAGAACTGAAGGAACTTATATTATTTAGAAGTATCAAAGTTATGACTCATGAAATCGGCCATATGTTTGGAATGCAGCACTGAGTGTACTATCAATGTGCGATGAACGGTTCTATGTCAGCTGAAGAAGCTTCCACCAGACCTGTACAGTTATGTCCAATTTGTTTGAGGAAACTCTGGTATAATATTGGATTCGATCCCTTGGAGAGATTTAAGGCCTTAGCAGAGGTCAGCGACATAAATAAATATTTTGATGAAACTAAAGAGTGGTATTACGCAATGGTCGAACATCTTGAGTCAATTTACTCCGAGCAAAAATTAGACAAACCGTACAAGAAGAGGTATCCAAAGAATGACCCAGACAAGCCAGCGACAAAGGTCATCAAACCTACTATCCCCAGAAAGCCAACAGTGCCCAAACAGACCGGCATCGAACGACTGAAAGCTAAGACTAAAAAATAGATATAAAACTTTCACTTCCTTTCAATCTATCCAAACCCTTAGGGGTTTTGGGGTTTTGGGGTTTTGGGGTTTTGGGG